TTTTGTTCATTTATGCATGCCTGCTATTCTCTCTCTAATCCCACCGTTTTTGTGATTCATTAATTTCACCTTCTCTATCCCTTCTTCGTACGTGTATGTGTTCTCTTTCTCTCTCTATGTGTATTATCATCTGATTACAGTGCAAAGCCCTGTTTAAATTCATTTCTTGAAAAAACAAACAAGCCAAGATGAATATTTTATTCAAGACAAGAACATTGAAAAATTCATGTATCGTTTATTATCATCGAATTTGTCCATTGTGGTGTTAAAAATCTTCTTTTTTTGTTCGACATTCCTTTGTATGTCATTTGTCTTCCTTCGTTTATGCCACATTGCTTTTGAAAAACTATACTATCACATATTATTTTTTATCTGTTTGTTGCCTTTTGTTTAACTTTTTTTGTTTCTGTTCTTCTCGTTTTTCATTCACAAACATCTTTTGTCGGCGGCATGTGCGTTCCTTGTTGTTTGTTTCGGACCTTGATTTTGTATGTGCTGACCGTGCTTCACTTTGAGCACGAGTGGTTGTTTGTTTGGTTTTTTTTCTTTTTTTTTTCTCTGTGTGTGTGTTCCTTTTTTTTCCAAGATAAATAAGAAAGAAGAAAATAAATTAGAACGATCGATCCAATATTATTTGTGTTTATTTTTTCTGTTTGTCTCTGCCAATGTTATACTGTGTCTTATAAATTAGTAACATAGATTAGCAAAGGTAAAGCTGACATGGTAATGATTAGAGATAAACAAAAAAAAACAAAATTAAATTTATCATAAAACACTAGATCAGACGAAATAAATCTACAAGTATTTCTCGAAGCTTCTTGTTCTTGTCTACATTTGCGTTGATGTAATTTGTTGGTTTTTTTCTCTCTCTCTGTTTCTCATGCACTTTTGATGGTGGTTCATCTATTATTCTATATTTTGTTTTCTCAACCGGTTCGTTTTGCTATTTTCTCTCTCTCTACTTTATCCCAGCCACAAATTGAATTATCTGCAAATAGTGTGTGATTGCTTCTTCTTCTTCTTGTCACGATTTTTTCTTTCTTGCCGTTGTCATTTTTTTTCTTCTTCTTCTTCTCCACGCATTCAAGAATAAACGAGATCTCTGCTCGATCAAGCAGAAATTTACTGTCTTTATAATAACTAACTGAATTGTCAAGTTAGATTATCGATAATTTTTTTCAATAGATGAAGATTTTCTATGAAAATAATTTATAATCTTTTTCTCGCTCTCTCTCTATGTATAAAAGTATTATTGCGTGTGTATACAATGATAACAGTCAGCTGTTGTTAGAAGTGAAATATTCACAAGTAAAAACATGAACTATGAAATGGGTCAAAATGATAATAGATATGCAAACGATAATTTCAATGAAATATATATCTATGTGTTCTTTTGTCATCGAAGTTAAATAGAAAATGACAGATAGCGCAAAGTTTATACATGTAGGATACTTGTTCATCTATAAATTTATGTCATTTTAATCTATGTATGAGATATGACAAGCGATTATATTTAATATTATTGTTTTCTTGATCAATAGAATTTACATGAAAAACAAAAAAAAAAGTGTTTTATTGAGGTAAATAATGATAACAGATGACAAGTAGGTAATTTGTAATAAAACAATCTTTTTCAATGATGTCTTATCATGAACGATTATCAATAAGACAGTTCATATTTTATGATATATCAACATTTGTTCAGAGTGTAGTTTATAAAAAAAGAACTTGATTCAAGATTGAATCTGGTAGATGAACATGTTTTATGTAAGATATGTAAACATATCATTATTGAAATTTTTCTAGAATCAATAGAAAAAAAAGCTTTTATTCGGACTAATATATTTCCATCATTAATTTTTATTTGTCAACAAAATCATTGAAATGAAAAGTGGTTCGTGTAGAATAATAAATTCTATTTATATTTGTTGTCCTTCAATAAAATAAACACAAATTACATCTTACTTGGCTTCTGACAAAGATATTCACTCGTTTATTATTCATATAATCTAATATTAATCTACTCGATTCAACTTAGATTTTTCATTTCGAAATGACAAGTATCTTCAATTTGACATATTCAGTCTCTTCAGTCATATGAGTAATAGAATTTAATAATTATTTATTTCTTTATCAAAACAAAATTACCATTTAAAAAAATTCACAAATTACTTTAAGAAAAAAAAATTCATTCAAAAAATACATATCGTTTATATCAATAAAAAATAAAGGTCATAGATTGTCATTCGCAATAAAATATATTAAGTTATTTGTGATGAACGATTGATACCTAGAAGAGGTGGATCACGATCTGATTTTCGTAAGTGCATACATAAAAACATTAGAAATGTGATTATAATAAGGCCAACAAGAACTATAATAATAATTATGAGTAATTTTCCATTATCATCATCCGCTAAATATAAAAATTAATTTATTTTTTCGAACATTAAATTCAAATATTCTTATTTACGCATAGGTGGCATCTTTTTCACACATTCAACATCAGCAGTAGCTGGAAAACGATTTTTATAAATACTTGTAAATGTATCAAATGGACATTCAATTGCTGGACAACCATTTAATACATATGGATAAGATATATTTGAATCGGTTACATTTAAATATTCAACTTTGACAAAATATGATGTATCTATTGGATAATTAAAACTTATATTCATCGATTAAAAGAAAATTTTAATTTTTACTTCTTTGATAAAGATCAATAAATAAAGCTGATGCGTACTAAACAATAATAAATTGAAATATGAATAAGATTTTTTTGCAAATTTTACTTGTGGTTGATGAGGATAATTAATACCAAGAAAAGCAAGAACAGCACTGACGGTTGTATCATGCTAGATAGATTAAATATTATGAATTCAAATAAATCAATCATTCTATAACATACAGCGGAATACACTTTAACTTTTTTAAAAGATTTCTTATGTATTGAATTATTCATATTTAACCAAATATCTTGTACCGATGGACCTAAATCAATAAATTGTTTGTTTTTCTTTATATAATAAGTATATTTAAATAATTAAACCTCCTCGAATTCGTTGAGTATCATTATTAGCAAAAAGGAAATGAAATGCATGATCATTAACATCCGATAGATTTTGTCGAACAGCATCATTTGCCCATGCTGGAGCTTTATTATAAATATGCTAATAGAAAAAGAATAATATATACTCTATACAAATATCTCTTATTTACTTCAACAAAAATTGTATCAGCTACATCCCAAGCATTATATACTGTGATATTTGTTAGACCTGTCCATTCCTGAAGATTTTTAAAGAATGACTAGAAATAAAATATTTGATATAAATAATAATAAATTGAAGAAAATGAAATTTTACTTCATAATATTGATTCATTTTTTTCACATCATCACTTTCATTGACTTCTTCTTCAAGTTGATCATATCTTGGACAATCATTTTGACCCAGTAACTAAAAATATAATAGAATATAATTAATATCTGTTTTGATTATTCAATTGAATAATATACAAAATCTAAATTAATTGATACAGTATGAATTGGAATTGGTTGTATAGGAACTTTATCATCTGTCTTATTAAGTACTGGATAGAGACCGACTATATTTGATTGTGCTGACATTAATGTTCGATCAACATCTGTAGAACGAATAACAATTTCACTTGTAGTATAATTTGGACTCAATAATGATCCATAACGATTACGAAGATACCCACCAAGACGATGTTGTTGTTCAATACCAGCCATCGTTAATTGACCATAACTATATAGAATGAATGTAGAGGTAAAGAACTTTTTTATTATAGATAATATATACCCATTTGGCCAATCCTTTTCTTTTACTGAATCCAATGGGAATGTTGTTACAGGTGTTCGATCTCCATGTCTATATAACTAAAATATTATATAAATGATTAATTTTATTTAGTTTGTCTCTAATTGACTTTACCACATGACCAGCAATAAGTTGCATTTGTTGACTATTGATTTGATGTAAAAAAAATGGAAAGAATACAAACCAAGACATATAGAATCGAACTTCCCATCATTAATTAGATGGTTGAACAAATCTCAAATATAAATTCAACAATTTTCATTTATTATAATAGACTTAATATAAAGACCTAAACATTCATCCTGATATTTGCGTTATAATCACAGCGATATCAAGAAAATATTAGCAATCTATTTAAAACATCACGAAATATCAATTTCTTTCAGATATCCTGTAAGTATATTGTTTGTAGCTATAGTTAATTTATCAGCCTATCATATACTATGTTGTTAATTAAATCATAAATAGCTTTTTATGATTATTCACATTATTTATCACAATAAACAAATAATTTTTAAATGCTTTTATTTATTAATATATAGTTTGATAATAAATGACGGAAATGGTAGTTAAACTTCTTCATAATTTTCCTTTTGTTTGTAACGGAAATGAATTCCACATTCATCTATCCATACTTGAATTAGAACTATGAAATACGGATATTATCGAGAAAAAAAAGAGGTAACAAATTGAATTAATCTCAAAATTATTATTGTTTCAATGAGATTGACAAAAAAAAAACACATTATATATTTAATATGTATGCATAACGAAATATCTTTTCACAATATTATCTTTTAACTCACACGTACAAATTATAAATAACATTGACAGACCTTACTATATCAATTCCAATTAGTTTCATACTCATTACGCAGGTTAGTATCTATTACATAACAATACAATATAGATCTAAAAAAGAAGGCATTGAAGCAAAGGATCTAGACAATATATATTGTTCTTCTGCAATTAATTACAAGAAGTTACAAAGCACATAGAAAAGAAAAATTCAAAACTCAAAATACACAAAGAAAGAAAAAAATGAATTCTATATAGACATAAGATATTACAATAAAATATTACGAAATGAACAAAAGAGATAAACATCATAGTATGTTTTTGTATAATGACTAGATTCTACAAATAAAAAACAAACTATGTATTGCGTAATTCATTGAAGATAGCTAAAGGAAAATATTTGATGTGTGTATGCCATTGCGATGAAATCTGAAAGAATTTAACATTACTCCATTCTTGTCCATCAACATTTACTAAAATATAATAATTTTTATTTGTTTATTATAATTATGATATGAAAAATATACCTTTTAATTCAACATTTTGTGCTTTTGATGTACAAACAAGGCGATTAATACCTGTTATGACTTGTGGTTCGATAATTTTTGCATTTGATAAATCTTTAAGTTTTTTACCGAATTTCATAACTAAAAAAGAAATATGATTTCTATAGAAACAAAAAAAAAATAACTTTCGTTTAAAAAAAATGTTATTCAAATCTTCTGTTTATCTTCTTATTTACTCTTCTGTTCTATTTTCTATTGATAAAGTAACAAATTCATTTTCCAATCGGTTTAAAAGAGGTCTATCTGATTATGAACCAGAATGTATAGAGCAAAATACTCCTGTTGATCAACCTCAATATTCTACAAATAATAGTGCAGGAACAAGAAAAAAACGTTTTGTTCTTTTTCCTGAATTCGTAAATTATAAAGACAATTGGAATTATTTGCAAAAACCAAAAGAAATTTATTATTGGATTTCAAATTTTTATCCGAATCGAATTGATACAAATTATATTCATTATTGTATAGAACATATTATTCAAGAAATTAATACAATTCTTGATGATGAAATAATTCTACATAGAGCATCAAATCCAGGAGAAGGAACTTTTCATTTTCTTTTTTTTGATTATACAAAATGTCCCAAAGATGATGTACCACAAGCAACAATTGATAATGTTACAGTTTATCATGAACTTGATATTTATCCTGCTGAAATAGCACGAAAAAATCGATATCGTGCTCATGGTGGAATAAGACTTATTGATAATAATCAACCAATATCAACAATTAAATTCAATATGCAACAAACATTTCTCGCATCAAGTGATCTCGTTTATGATCCGGTCATATATTCATGTGGTGATAATGAAACTAAAAATGAATGTGAACTTGATACATATTATGTTTTATTACATGAAACATTACATGGATTCGGTATAGAGGTAATTTATTTTTATACTGGAATTTCCAAAACGCTCTGTATTCTTATACTAAAACTATATTCTTTGATCAGTGGTTTATCCAGCGGAGGGGGGGG